AAAAAAAAAAAAAAAAACCAAAAAAGCTGTAGAGGGGACTGCCTGTGTCTGATGACACTGCTTCTAACCAGCCTTCTGGTTGGGTGAGATGTGAGCCAAGGAAAGATTGCTGGGGATTCCTTGGGGAGGAAGGTTGGTTTCTCATCCCTTTTCTCTTCTCTACCCCCTGCTCTTATCTCTGTCATTATCACTACCAGCATCATCTTCTGTGAGGCTGTGGCCATCTACGGCATCATCATGGCAATTGTCATTAGCAACATGGCTGAGGTAAGGAAAACCTGGGTGCAAGTAAGCGTCTGCACCAGTGTGTCTGCCCACTGCTAAGATATTGGTGGAGGGGAGGCAGCTGCATAACAAGTAGTTTCTGATTACTTTGCCTCTCTCAGCCTTTCAGTGCCACTGAACCCCATGCCATTGGCCATCGAAATTACCATGCAGGTAGGTGGGTATGTGTGTGAAGGTGAAAAGGGTGGAGGGCTTCACACCTCCTGCCCTACTCCAGCCTCCCAGCTTGGAGTTTTCATTTTGATATTCTCTCAGCTACTTTGGCCTGCTCTGCAGGGTTGGGTTGGGAATTGTCCCCATTAGACCCTACTGGGCTCTTGTTTTCATCACCCCTTGTTCCTGACTTAGCCTCATTGAGTCCCTCTCTGTTTCCCAGGCTACTCCATGTTTGGGGCTGGACTCACGGTGGGTCTGTCTAACCTCTTCTGTGGAGTCTGCGTGGGCATCGTGGGCAGTGGGGCTGCCTTGGCTGATGCTCAGAACCCCAGCCTCTTTGTAAAGATTCTCATCGTGGAGATCTTTGGCAGTGCCATCGGCCTATTTGGTGTCATCGTTGCAATCCTTCAGGTGCTGGATCACCCTGGGGAGCCTCTGTGTCCTTGATTCCAACCCATCTTTATCCACTGTCTAGAGGAGCCCAAGTGCTCTTTACCATAACTGTAGAAACCCTGGAAAGTTTCCACCACCTCATTCCGATCTCTTTCTTCTTTTTTAAAGCTTTGTTCTTGTTCCTGGTTTTTTTTCCTTTGTTTCTTTGTATGTATGTATGTATCTCTCATTTAGTTCCTCTGTCTTGTCTGTTGTTTTGCTTATCTGTCATCCTCTCGCTGTCTCTGAAAACACACGATGCCTTTGTGGTCTAGACTGGTTTGAGATCTTATCTGTGTCCCTCTGATATGTTTGTCTCTCTCAGGCCCTGCATGTATCTATCTGTGACATGCCTATCAGGATAGCATGTCTGAATTGTGTATTTTGTCTACCTGGCGGTGGCGGTTTATGGGCTTATAACTAGAGATCAACCCAAGGGTCCTTATAATGTGACTGAGGGTTCTTGACTGGGTCGGCTCTTGTTTGGCATAGTCCATATGCCTTCTATCCATCTCTTCCACAGTCTTAACTCAGCAGTCCCTGTATATCTGTCTGTCCTGGCCTGGTCATCTGTTGTGTCTGTTCAGTCATGGGGTTGCAAGGTCTGACCTTGTCATGGTCACTGTCTTAGCTGTTCCTCTGACCCTGCCTGATTTCTCCCATTCTTCTTTTTCAGACTTCCAGAGTGAAGATGGGTGACTAGATGATCTGTGTGACTAGATGGTCTTATTTATTGCTGGTTTTCCTGGGACAGCTGGAGCTGTGCCCCTTAGCCTTTCGGGGCCTTGGTGTTCAGGGCCTTCCCTGCACTCACCTCTCGCTGTCGACTTGGAGGCACTGCAGTCTGGGCTGAATCCTCAGGGTGGGGAACGGGCTGCTGATGGTGACTGTGCAGCTGTGCACCTGTGTCCCCCACCTCCACTCCAACCTATCTTCCCAGTGTTTGTGAAATAAACGTGGTATTTGTCAGAGTAAATGCAGCTTCCACTGCCCTTTTGCGCCACCTTTCACAGAGGAAGGGTACAGAGCCTCTGTGCCTCAACCTCATGCCAAGCCTTTGCCACCTTTGTCTCTTTACATACCTCCTGTGCTCTGGACAGAACCAGCTTCTGGGTTAGGAGGTAGGAGAGTTTTGGTGGACTCTGTGTCCCTAACATCTTTGTTGAAGGGAAAAAGGAATCTTTGACAAGCATCTCAGTATGTTTGTGCCTGGGGTCCTCCTAACCCCATGCCCTCCAGGTCCTCTAGACCCAAACTGACTGGCAGCTGCTTCCTGGCTCTACCCTCACATCATCATTCCCTGTGCCTCGGGCTTGGAGCCCATTCTTCTGCCTGAGCTTCCCTGCCACCGTCCTGCCCTAGCACCCATCTCCTCCCAGAGACTGCTATGGTTCTCCATTCCAAGACACTTTCAAGTTTTTCCCACTCCTACCCCATTTCTGATTTTCTCCAAATCTTATCCAGACACCATAGACTCCCCAGCCACCTCCAGCCCACACTTTTAACGCCCGC